AGGGAGGGAGAGAACGACACTTAAAGAAATACCAAGAGAAAATGAAGTGCTGTGAATGCATACCGAACGACATAGCCTGAGAGTACAAAAACCGTCATACAGAAGTGAATTAACTACCTAACTCCTGAAAAATATAAATGATTTGGGTAAGTACAAAGGAGCACAAAGTGCACGCCATGAATAAATAAAAATAGATTTAACAAAGCATGATATATTTTAACAAGAACCAACACAGCCATGGCGGGCATTTTGATCTATCGAAATACAGGAAGCTGAGGCAGAAAATACTTTTTTTCAAGGGGAATAGTGAAAAATTAAGTAGAAATTATTTTATAAAAAAAAATCTTTATTTGTTCTAATCTTAAGAAAATCAGAAGAAAGTGCTAATGGAAGAGAGTAAGTTATTTTTAGTTTAATAAATCTAGAGAAAAAAATAACGCCTAAGACTACTGACCATTAGAAATATCCAGAGCAAAAGTGATCTGGATCATAATGTATGAAGAATTACAAACCATTAAGAAAAAGAAAAACTTCAAAGTAGACGAAAGACAAAACCTTGCAAAAATTAGAACTCTACCAGTATCAAAGGTTAGAGGGTAGAACACTCCTTCGAGCCTAGCAATTCTACTCCTACTTATATATCCTAGAGCAGTGCTTTTTCAAGTTGAGTATAATTCAGCTGGCAGATCATGGAATCTCTTACTGAGGCATCATCAGCAATTTTAAATGAAAAAGACAAGTGCATCATTATGTACCAAGGCTTAGTAAGGGTCTAAATATTGTCTCATGAACCCTCTGTTTCAGGTACCTGGGGTGAGAAGTGTGTGTGTTTGTATGCGTGCACATGTCTGTGTACATACATACCTATACACAATACATTTCTTACTGTGAGCTGCAGTCATAAGAAGTTTGAAAATAACAACTCTATTAAAACCTTTGCCTTTGAGCACCTGAGTTATTCACAGCATTGAAAACGAACGTACCAAAGCTATATGCAATAAAACAAATCTTAGAAACAAAAATTTGACAGAAAAGGAGTAACAGAAGGGGCCACACAGTATGACATCATTTTCATAAAATAGGCAACATTTCATAATATATTACATAATATATTACATTACTTAACTTTTTAAAGAAGGAAATGATACACACAAAACAAAACGGTGATTAAATTTGGAGTGATGAGGGGTGGGGATTGGATAAGGACCACACAGCATGGTCTTAATTTGTGTAGCTATGAAGTGTTATTATAAAGGAAGAATTGGGACTCCCCAACTTATTTTGGATGTAACTATGTCTTTTTTTTAAAAGTTGCATTTGTATCAAACATGACATGAATGGATCTGAAATAGTGTGCTGGCAGTAAGAATGAGAACAAAAGGATGCATAAAAGAAATAACAAAGCTATAACAAAGGAAAATAGTCACTGAACATTGAATTCTATTTTGTGTGATTTTACTAACTCAACTTCAACAATATATTTATACGGATTAGACATTGTTAAGAAAAGTTGAGACTTGCCTGAGTTTACACAACTGAAAATTACTATAAATCAGAATTTAAACCCAGGACTATCCTATCTCCAAAGCCCAGGTTCTCCTCATTACTCACACTAAATGACTAAATGTTTAGTCATAACTGCTCAAAAGCTCAGATACCTGGGATATCTCTTAGTCCAACCTCGTTATTTTGTAGAGAGGAAACTCTAAGAGACTAAGCTGCTGGCCCTAAATACCCTACAACTTAAGCAGTTCTCAAGCTTTTGGTATTAGGATCCTTCACACTCTTAAAAACTACAGAGGCCCCACAAAAACCTTTTATCTGCATGGGGTAAATCTATTGCTTCTTATCACATTGGAAATTGAAACTAAGAAATATTACGAATATTAAGAAATTTATAAATAATTTATCAATAAACCCATTACATGTTAATAAAAGTAACTTTTGAAAAATGATTTTTCAAAACAAAATAATAATGAGAAGAATGCTATGATTTCACATTTTTGCCTACCTCTTTAAATTATGGTTTAATAGAAGGCTATTAAATTCTAATATCTACTATTGTATTCAATCTATTGCATCATATTGTTTTCACTGAAGTATATGGAAAAAATCCACACTCAAGTAGATATGCAGCTGTGAAAGGATGGCCTCACACACTCTCTGAAAAGGTCTCCTGGGCTCCCATGGTTCAGGCTGTAAGTTAAGAACTACTCCTCTAAAGGTTTATTCCTCTAGCCATCCTTCCTAAGGACTCGAACAAACTACAGTATATACGAAAGTACTGAATATACACTATTTAGGAAATCTGAAAAATCTAATTTATCCTGGCACTTCCCTAACCTAGAATTCCCCCAGATATCTGAAATCCAATCCAAATGTATATGAATGAGGCCCAAACTCAAACCTGTTTTTCTCATGAGAGCTTGTAAAAAGGAAAACACTACTATCAGAAAATAGCCCAGGCTGCAGCCGGCTACAATAGAAACCGGAACAACTGGACATCAGTACAGACTAAAGTAAGTTAGACAACGGGTGGCAAAGTTTCTGTAACATGCCAAATAGGAAATACGGGGGTCGTATAGTCGCTGTTGCAAATAGTATTTGTAGCATGAAAGCAGCCATAGTGAATATATACATAAATGGGAGTAGCTGTGTGTCAATAAAACTTTATTTACAGAAACAGGTCAGGCCAGGTTTGGCTCAGGCCATGATTGACTAAACCCTGCCTCAGGCTAAACTGGTCAGTTCAAAAATGTAGTGGCTACAACAAAGCCATTTTATAAGAGCATATTTTTTCTTATCTTTGAATTGTTCTCAAACATAAATTTGTAGAGTAATATCTTCCAATCTAAGATACCTTTGTAATATCTTATGATAGTAACACACCTTCCTCTTAGTAAGGAAGAAAAAGGCAGAATGAATAAATATTAGGTGCATTCAAATAACTAAAAGTTACTCAAACACTTAAAAATATATATTTAAAAAATGACAATGTAGTCCAGTAGAATGGCAAAATATTCCAGAGTAATAATTATGACAGTCAATAAAATCAAAATTATTTAAAGATACACGAAACTTGTCATTTCTTCTCCTTCTAGTCAATTTATAATATAATTACATAATTATAGTAGTCCTTCTGAGTAAAGAGTTCTTAAACAAAATATAAAAAGCATAAACCATCAAGACACAAACATTAAATTCCAGAAATAAATAGATAAGCCACAAGTAGGCAAAAGATATTCATAAACAATACAGCTAGAAAAGGATTAAGACCAAGAACATATAAGAACTCCCACAAAACAAGAAAATCGAAATTAATATTATGAAGATATAGCATAAAAAATTCATAAAATTTGCAAATTCTTAAAACTCCAGCCATACCAAGTGATGAAGTGATATGAAGCAATGAGAATTTATACATTGCTGGTGAGAATGTAAATTGATTCACCACTTTGGAAAAGAATTTCAATTATCTTATAATGATCAACATCTACATCTTATAAATCAGCAGTTCCACTTCTAGGAATACATAGTGAGAAACTTCTGAATATATATAAAATGTATCAAAAATGCTCATCAACTGGTAAATGGATGAAGTCGTACCACGGAACACAACACAAATGAGAAAATGAACACAACTACATGTGTCAATATAGATGAATCTCAAACGATAACAAGTAAATCAGCAAGTTGCAAAAAGAAGGCATTTCATATGATATCATTTATGTAAAATATAAACATGAAAAACAGAATTCTTTATTGTTAAGGTGTGTGTGTGTGTGTGTGTGTGTGTGTGTGTGTGTGTTGTTAAAAATATACATAAGACAAATAAAAACACCAACTTCAGGTTAGTGGGGGCGAAAAGGGTGGAGCTAACAATGGTAGACAAAGCAATTGGGATGGAGAACTTAATTTTATAAACAGTGGTAGGTACACTACTCCTTATACCCATTTGTATCTCTAGAATATTTCATTAAAATTTTTAAATAAAAGCTATACATAAATAACTTACAGTGGCTTATATTGTATTAAAAAAAATTAGTAGATGCTTCCAAACCAATTTTGTAACTGACTGTAACAGGAGCAAGGGGCAAACATTCCCCAGAGCTTTTCTGTTTACTCAACCACCTTAGGTTACTACAATACAATAACTTCATCTTTGAATATACTGCGCCACCTTGTGTTCAAAAGCTTCAACCTACTATAAAGTTGAGTACCATATCTGAAAATGGCTACTTGAATACATAAATTCCTTTATGCTGTGGCATGAGGTTTCACTTTATTAAGCACATATAAAAATGACATTTCAAACAACTTCTGATTCTGAAGAAGCTAGAAATACTTTATATTTTTATTTAGTTGTTTCTTGTTTTAGTTATTTCACTTCACTTTCAGAGAATAATCTGCCTGTTTTCCTTGATTTTAAGTATAAAATTTTTTTTCAGTGAGTAGAACTCAAAATTATAGACATTTAAAATACAAAAATACACTTTTGTAAAGAACCTTACCTTTGAATGCGTAATTGACAAGGTGTCGACCCACACGCGCCAGCCACCCCACTCATATTTGACTGCATGGTAAAGGAGGATTCTGAATATGGCGTATACCATTTCTGTTATCTTCTGCTCATCTGAATTCTTAGGATTAAAATAGCAGAGAGAAAGCATCCACTCTTGCCACACAGAGCATTGTAGCAAGCTCCTGAAAATAATAAGAGGATACTCATTTACCAATAAGTCATCTGAAAGAATTCGTAAAAGTTCAAAACAAAATAAACAAAAAACCCACCTTTATGTTTTCAAAACAATTAAAGAATGTGGTATTGAAAACTCAATGTAACTGTATAGCTCATTACTTATATACCCTTAATGACAAGATTATTGAAAATTCATTTCACAGTATTTTTTTAAAGCACTTTTCGTAGAACAAATGGGCTTACTCAAAGCTGGACTTCAATACTGCAAATAAATGCTTTCTGATCCACTTACCTTCTGTTTTCTCTACTGTTATTAAAAAGTTTAATCATATCAGAAAGAAAGGCTCTGCGAACTTCCAAGCTCTCTGGGCACTGAGGAGAATTTCGAAGTAGGGTCGCAATTACTTTCAGTATTTCTACAAGACAATTCATAAATTAGTAAATATCAAAACACTACAAAAAATTCCTGATGGAAAAATCATCAATATACTGCAATTTCTTTCATTTCCCTGACATAAATGCCTACTAAAACCATTCTCCTTCATTTTATAAAAACAATCATCATCTGCCAAAAAGAATGACAATGTATTCATGAACAAACATCCACAAAGAAAGGCATTTTATTTCACTATCAGAATATTAAAAGTTAAATTTTAAAATGTTATAATACATCAAGTTAAATTATAAATTAAATGACAGTAAAGCTGCTGACAAATCTCCCCAATCTCTGCCAATTAGTAAAGTTGATCTTTAAAAAACACACACTATAATCAAAGTCTCAGAAAAAGAATAAATTCTCGGCTTCTTCAACCAAATTGATGGTTTACATGTACCCCTTTATCATCATGAACTTTAAAAGATGTCAAGATTGGTTTTCATGCTGTAAAAGTAAAATTAGATACAAAAAAAAAAACCCCAAAGGAAATTAAAACCAATTCAACAACCCGAACAAATACAAATAAAATTACTACTGCAATGGTTTTAAATACAACACTGCCTAAATTTCTTGTAAATTTCTTAGCTAATTTGTTTTGAATTTTTATAAAAATTTATTTGAATCTAAGAGAGGATATGCCTGAAAGCAAGATCTCAACAATGAGAAAAACGCTTTAGAGAATAACAGTTTGCAGTTTCTTTTATACATTTGAGATTAAGAAGGATATAGTAAGGAAGATTACATGAAGGTAAGAGAAAACCGTATTTAAAGAAAATAAATTCTTTAAAATATATACTTAAAACCAGAACTTTAAAGAAACAAAAACAGCCATAACCCAGAATTTAAAATGAATATATCACTTTTTACCCAATGAAAAATTGAGGAATTCTAAATCAGCCTTTGCCAAGGTTTTTGGTGACTCTGAAGCAGTAAGTTCAAAATTTATCATACAATTAATAATATTTGGGGAACAACTTCTAAATTCTTCTACTAAAAATTCAAAATTTCTCTACCTGAACAATGATTACAATAATGATGATAATCATAATAATGAGAATGATGATAATGGCCACTAATTTTGAGGATATACTACTGTGGGTCAATGTTTTAAGAAAATACACATATTAACACATGTAATCCTTATATAGTGATAGCTAAATACTATTATTACCTCCATTTTAGGGATAAGAAAACTAAGGCACACAGATACTAAGTAATTTACTCAAAGTCACAAAACTATTAAGACATGAAGACGACTAAAAGCCAGGCAGTTTTTAAACACACGATACTGCCTTTCTTTCCTGAGTCAGTATATTATGTAGATAATATATTTTAAAATTCTTACTTCAATAGTAAGTCATCTTCCCCATAACCACAAAAAATATTTTTATATGATGTTATATTTTCAAATTTTTCTCCCTGAAGGCTAAGAAAAATTAAACTTTATAGCCATGTGTTTTTAAAACTAGTACTGAAATAGAGTACCACCAACACAACTCACCACACAAAACATAAATTTCAAAACTCTGCAAACCAGTTATTTTAATGTCAATAATCTTAAAAAGCAAGTTTAAAAACATATTTGTACAAGTACTTAAGAATTCTAAATATCGAAAGTAAAAATTGTTAGACTAAGTTCATAAACAGTAAAATACATAGATAGTTTTCAATTTCAAACTTTGTATTCTTAAATTGACAGTAATTTAATATGAAAGCTACCTCCATGGTTCACGTAATTTAGCCTGAAATCACTAAATAGTGCAATCAAAATTTTACTGAGGATCTGAACATACAGTAAATCAAGATCTTATGCATATAATTCTTCAAAACCTCTATATAAACATTTCCACATAGCCTGAGGTCAATTTGAAGTTAAATCAACATCAAACACATATAAAAGTAGTATTATTATCACTGCCTGTAATGAAATATTCTTCAATGTGTTCTCAACAATATCAGCTTTAGGTTTTTCACAGTAACTTTTCAGTAGCAAAAGTTACTTTTTAGAAGAATAAAAAAAGGGACTGGGAGAAATGGGTGAAGGTGATCACTCAAAGGGTACAAACTTCCAGAAATAAGGTAAGTCATGAAAATGTAATGTACAGCATGGCGACCACAGTTTACAATACTGTACTGTATATTTGAAAGCTGCTAAGAGAGTAAATCTTAAAAGTTTTCACCACATATACACATAAAAAATTATAACTCTTCTCAAATGATAGATGGGTTAACTAAGCTTACTATGGTAATCATTTAATAAATACATATATCAAATCATTAGGTTGAACATCTTAAACGTAAATAATAGTTTATGTCAATTTTGTATCAATAAAGCTAAAAAATAAAAATATAAACATATGAAATACATACGAGGATTTTGTATCTTTACTGTAGAATCAGGATCTGGATGCTGTTTATGTATCACTTGCGTACAAATCTGTTCTATAAGAATCTACAGAAGTAAAACAATAGATTGTATTATCATCATCACTGCATTATCATTACCAGTAATGAACTTTAAGTACAACACTAATCAACATTAATTATACAGTCCAGTATTGTCATGCTAAATATCTCTTGCATTATATTAAATGATTTCAACACTGTAACTTCATCTTTATTTAATTGTAAAATGAGACATCAAATAGTCAATACAGTGGAAGAAATGCTTTAAAACAGAAGACCACATGCTTAATAATTCACAGATTAATAGGTTTATTAAGATACAGCCACATCTAATTTATATAACTAATTTCAAAATTGTACATCAAACCAAATGATCTTACTTCACCTAGACTCTATCAACTCAATTATACAGGCATTTTTATAATAAGAAATTAATAAAATTGAATTCTAACTACATTCCTACCTCGAACAGGACATTATATGTGGTCATTGTGATTAAATTTGTCTGAAGCATGAGTCTTTCAGATAGCAATGAAAACAATCCATGTCCAAGCATGACTTCAGCTTTCCTTCTGCAACAACATAGAAAGAAATAATCAAATGCACAGTTTTATTATTCACTACTTAGTATGAATGTTGAAGACACAAAAATGTTTTACACGTTACCAACAAATTCCAGCTCAATAACTCTGCCAATTTTCTTTGACCTAGAATTTACAAGGCTACATGATCTTTAAGGAGAGAAATACAAACTACAATATAAGCACAGCTAAAGTTCAAGAAAAATACAAATCTAACTACACCACACCACAGCGAAAATCTCCACCAAAATCTTCAGAATTATTTATTAACTAGTTGCTCCATCAGCACTGAGCTAAACTCTACTATAAATGAAATCTACGAGTAAAGCCCAGTAAGTAGTTAAATAGAAAAACAACATGGAGAAAAAGGCAGACGAAATCTAAGACATTTTTTAAATGAATACTGTGAAGATAAATATATCAAAATTAAACTTCCAAGCAAAAAAATTAGAAACTAAAAGACTATAAACTTTAATTCTACACTTGGGTTCATCAATTTTTTTTCTGCAAATGGCTGGATAGTAAATATTTTAGGCTTTGTGAACCATATGGTCTCTGTAGCAATATCTGAACACTGCTGTTGTAACATGAAAACTGCCATAGACAATAAGAAATTATTGTGGCTGTGTTAGATAAAAGTTTATTTATAGGCAATCAAGGATTCAACATAAAAGCCACAGTTTAACAGTTTTCTACCACCAAAATTTTTAATTTTCATAATAAACCAATCCTGGTACAAGAAACAATAGATAGGATATGAATGCCTACATTCAGCTAAGAAAAAAAAAAAAGGAAGTTTTAATTTTTAATTACACATAAAGTAGGACACATTATGTGATAAACATTCAGTTAATGTGTCAGTTTTATAGTATAGATAAAGCAAATGATAATCAAGTCACCAGTAATAGTCTCTACTATATCTAGAATTCAATTTATACAAATGTATTCTCATAATGAATTTACAAAAAGGAAAATTTAAATAATTTTCATACAAGACAAACAATAACTTCTGCTCCCACTTTATTTTTAATATGTAGAAGTGAGATTAAATTTATATAGTATTTTATATATATAAATAAAGGAAAAGAGAGACTACGGGAAACACAAAACACCAATACTACTCCAAATATTTGTAAAATAAATAATATACTCCAGTTCATTTTAGATTTCATGTATACTCACTTTGGGGCGAGGTGTTTTAAAAAATATCCCATTGCTTTAAGAGCTTGTACTCTGATTCCTTCACTTGTTGATGCCATCAGTTTATAGATAACACTGAATGAATTAAAATTAAGAACAAATTACTGAGTATATTATTCAAAAGTAAATATTTTAAAAAATATATATGTGCATATTTTTTCACAATCATATGATTATAAGATATGGGGGATTTAATATACATTTCTGACATTTAAAAACGCTTAACTATTTTTCATCTTCAAAGAACCCACATTAAATATAAAAACACAAATTCAAAGTAAATTAATGGAGAAAAATATACTATACTAACACTAATCAAAAGAAAGCAAAAGTGGCTATATTAATTTCAGAACAGCCTTCAAAGTAAGGAAAGTTATCAAGGATAAAGAAGCTAATTACACAACACTACAGGTGGTGATTCTCCAAGAAGACATAATACTCCTTAACATATATGTGCCTAACAATAGAGCCTAAAAGTATGTGAGGCAAAAGCTAACACAACTCCAAGGAGCAATATATGAATTCGCTATCATAGTTAGCAACTTCAGCGTCCCTTTCTCAGACCCAGCAGGCAGAACATCAGTAAGGACACAGTGGAACTCAACAATACCATCGATCAATCGAACATAACTGCTATAAACTGCTTCATCCAACAACAGCAGAATACACATTTTCCTTAAGCTCGCATGGATATTCACCAAGTAGACCCCATTCAGGGTCATAAAGCACACCTAAACAAATGTAAAGATTAGAAATCAAATAATATTTATTCTCAGACCACTGAATTAAAGTAGAAATCTATAACAGAAAGATAGCTGCAAATTCAAAATACTTGGAGATTAAACTACACACTTTTAATTAGTATGTAGGTCAAAGAAATCTCAAGAAAAATTAGAAGTATTTTCAACTCAAGGAAAATAAAAACACAACTTACAAAAATCCATGAGATGCAGCAAAAGCTGTGCTTACAGGAAAATCCCTAGCACCGAAAGCATGTATTAGAAAAGAAGAAAGAAGGAGCATTTGAGATCTTGCTCCCCAGCATATGTTATCAGTTTGGCCCAAATAAACTCTTATGAAAATTCTCTACAGCTTTGCACATTTTTTATGTCAACATTTACTTGGCTGGATTATGAAGATGCCCAACCAGGTTCACCCTGCGGACCTGGACCCAGTGCTAGGTCCAAGCAAGGGCCCACTGTGCCCCACTGGCTCTTTGCTTCATAATATAGCATGAACTTGAGTGAGTTTCCCTCAGAATTTCGGGTCTTCTTCCTTTAAATAGCAAGCCAAACCTTTGTTGACAAGCATTGAGATAATGCAGGGAAAGGGGGAAAAAATGGGTTGCTGATTTTAATTTCAGCTTTTTATTTATTTTTTTAAGATTTTTTGGGGGAACTGGGGGAGGGGAACAGTGTTGGGGAATTGGGGAAGGGGAACAGCCAAGTTGTTGTTCTTCAATCTTTGTTGTGGAGGGCGGCAGTGGCCATCTGGCTGCCCGGTGGCAGCTCATGGCCTCTAAGCTCAAGGTGCTGTGTTCAGTCTTAGTTGTGGGTGGGCATAGCCACCATCCCATGCAGGAGTCAAACCAGCAGCCTTGTTGTTAGAGCACATGCTTTATGCACTGAGCCATCGGGGCAGCAGCTCAGCTCAAGGTGCCGAGTGCAGTCTTAGTTGTGGGTGGGCATAGCCCACCATCAAACAAGCAATCTAGCTGTTACACCAGCTGAGCCATCCTGCCACCTGTTGGCAGCTCAGTGACAGCTCAGACACAGTGTCACTGGCCAATGTGGAAATCGAACCAGCAGCCGTGTTGCTCAGAGCTTGTGCTCTTAAGCCAACTCTTAACCAACTGAGCCACTCAGCCGGCCCTAATTTCAGCTTATTAATTGGATTGCTTACCGAGACTCTGAAAAAAATCTTTTCTGGTTAAATGAGAAAATAAACTCTCTTTTGCTCCAAAAAAAGAAAGGACACTTGCTGCCCCAATGGAGTGACAATAGTTGTTCAAACCCCCGAATCTGGAGTGGAGGTAATGAGCGCCAGGAGTTGCCCGTGCAGTAGCCCAGCCGACCCTGGAGAAGCCAGTAGGAGCCCTGGAGGAAGGGTAAGGTGCCCTGGAATGGGATCACCAGGGAGGGAGGGAGCCATGTGTGCCTTAGAAAGCAATGCGGTTCTGGTGGCATCCCGTAAGTTCTCAATGGCCCTTGCTCGCGTATTCTTAAGTGACTAAGAATCTTTGTGGGGCTGCTAGAGGAAAAAACTGCCTCTAGGGCATAAAGTGGTCCTATTGAGACAGCCCTGGCATTTGGTTCATCAGGAGAAATGCACGTAAAGCGCTGGTTTTCCCTAGAAGTTTGTTCAGACTACAGATCTCAAAATTAACCTGGAAAATCATGCCTCTGAGGATGTCAAGATCCATGACAGTCAGCCTTCCATTAATATTAATATGGCCGAAATTGGACCCTTTGATACTTCTAAATTTTTGGGTGCACAACTAGAAAAAGCCAGCTATTAAATCAGACAGAATGAATGAAAAAAAAAAAAAAAAAAAATTTAGAGACTCTCAGAACTTGAAAAAGGCCTTCTTCCCTAAGTTAAAGTGAAACTATGTAAAAGGATTTAGGTAGATGGAACAACCTATGATGTTGTTTAGGTGTTAACCCAATTCTCTGAAGTTTAAAAATGGCTGTCCTTGTTTTAGAAAGGGGAATGCCACTTGCAACTTGCCGTGTGAAGGACAGATATGAACTGGAAATGCCTCCAGGGTAAAATTTGGATCCAATTGATCTTTTATAAACTAGTGAGTTTTTCTCATTGCTAAACGGTCTCTGTGTTGTAACCGCACATGAACTTCATTTCTTTAGCATGCATTCTGCTTTAATCCAAGCTCACTTTCTTTAGCCTGATAAAACTATAACTCGTTTTCATTCTTTCCCCAGATCCTCCTGCCTGTACATACACTGTATGTCTGCTCCTTTTAATCATTAAGCCCCTAGGACATTAGGTTCTGGTCTGCGTCAAACTCACTTAAGAATAAAGCTTCAGGTCTATCAACCATGACCAAGATACAATAACCAAACCTTGAACTAGAATAAGGTTTTAGTCAAACAAAGGTAACACCTTGTCCTTAGTTATGTTTCAGCTCCAGACTCATGACAGCAGAATGGCCCCAAGGACCGCAACCCTTAGAAACCCGACCAAAAAATGCCATGATCAATCACTCCCTGCCTTAGCCCTGACCAATGAGTAGGGCCCATGACCCCAACTCACATAGTAACCATGATTAATGATTTTTCCCTTATATAACCTACCTGCTAGGGAGCCAGGATTTTTGAGAGCACTAGCTCACCTGTGTCTCCAGGCTTGGCACCAACTCCTTAAATAAACCTTTACTTTCTTTGCTGTAAACTCCTGCTCATCTTTTTTTGGCTTGGATGCGTGCAGACAAGTGGGCCTTTGAATCTACAGTAACAGTGTGTGTGTGTGTGTGTGTGTGTGTGTGTGTGTGTGTGTGTCTGTGTGTGTGTAGAGAGAACTCACAGCAAAAAAAATGTATACACATTTTAAGTAAGGAAAAAGCTATTAAAATTGTAATAATATATACTAATAACAAAAGATGAATACAAATCATGAGTATACATTTTTTGGTACTGCCGGTATATATGTTATAAATGTGAGATAATTTTCTACCTCTGGATGCTACTGTTAAAATTAATTTAAAGCAAGCACTTGTAAGAACAGGGTATTTTAAAATTCTCAGAAATACAGAAACTAACTCAAATGCTCTCAAGTTCACATGATCTAAGATTAATTCTTAGAAAATAAAAGCTAGCTTAAGTTTGTTCATTTAAGTAAAAGAGACATGTGTTTATTTTGCCTGGGTTTTACAAAAATAAATGCATGTTAATAATTGACTTTTATGTCTACGCAAGATGTTTCTAGAGGTTCTAAAATGTCCACGCTAAAGAATGCTAATTGATTTCTTCTTAATTTTCATTAGACACTGAGGTTTTAGGGGTTAAAATCTCAATATATGTAGGAATAAATTGGCAGTTTTTCAGAAGGCTGTGGAACACCTCAAAAGAGTTGAAACTGCATGGGAAGCATTGTAAAATAAGCGATGAAAACTTCTAAGGTATATTGTATGGGTAAACAGTGGTTCTAAAAAACCAATAGTCGGGGCTATGGGAAACCTAAGATGGCCACTTGGTTCGTCTTTGCTCCTGGATTCCCATTTTTCAGTTTTTGCATTCCTTCATGCATCATAGTGCATTTAGGCTGAACTTAGATGAAGGAACTTATGTGCTGACATTATTGTAAGAAGATATCTTACACCATTGCCAAGGTTTGATAAAAACATTTCAAGAAAATGCCAAGTTGGTAACTGCTTCCTTTCACAGTGAGCTCCCAGGAGACAAAGACTTTAGATTGTTTTCTGGAAAGGACACCAAACAAAAGACACTCTCCAATCTCACTGGAAGGGTCCTTATCAGGTATCTAACTGCAAATGGAATCTACCCATCTACAGACATCAAAGGCTCCTCAAGGACAAGGAACCCTGACACCTGAGGTAGGCAGCTATCCTAAGAACTCACAAGTCCTATATACCTATGGATTGATATTGAACTTAGAATCCATTTTGTTTGATTGTCTTTAACTGTCTGCTAATGATATTAGTCATGATAATAGTTACTTGTTCTTCGAGTTTTTTATATAGTCCAACTATTTTTGATTACTGAACATGTTAATACTCTTTCCATGGCCCATGTAAATGTTATTCTCAAATACAGGAAATGAGACAGAAGGCAAAACTTGAATCATGATAGTTCACAGGATAGAAATGATCAAAAGTGTTTCCCCCTCTCCCAGCAATGAAGGCCATAAGACCTAACTGCCTTCCACTTACCTGTCCGTCCACTTTGGGAAAATTCAGCCTCAACTCAGACCCCATGGTTATGGGCTGTGGTATTTCTCTATCCCCAGTGGTCAACAAGACAATGTGGATATCGAGACTTCCTAGGAATGGGCCTTCCTACCACCATGAGACCACATTATCTCACCAAAAGAGTGGT